TCAAAAACAATTCTTATATAAATAAAACTAAATATTATATAAATTACAAGTATTTTTAAATGATGATTTAAAATATTGATTGTTCAAGAAACTGAACGATATAATAACAGACTTGTTTTTGTACGTAATTCAAATTCCATATGCTGTTGACAAGATTTCCACTTGCATGTACTAATTAGTGGTCCCTACTGTCCCCTTCCCTGCAACGCAGGTACTAGTAGCTATACAACAATACCGAGGAGGTGCATTCGACCAAAGACTAGGTCGTCTGTTACCTACATAGCATACCCTACCGTAGGCCATTCTTGGTAGTTCGTGCTGAACTCGTGCCTAAGCAAATTTCATTATCGTAGAAATGCTACGTTATTGTAAGCATCTATTTTCATCAGATGCTTGATTCTTAAACACTTTAATTAGATCGGATGAGATTACATGGATTACATTTTATAATATGTATCGAAATTACTACATAATAATTTACTACATAATATTATAACTAACTTATAATTAATTTTACTCGTGTTTTTATCTTTTAAAATATATTTCAAACAAGAAAAAAGAACGTGATTTCTTTCGGAATTTTCTATAAACAGTATATTATTCTATAAACATTGTGTAATGTTGTTTATTAATAGCTATTTTTAATTCCACAAACTCAGCTCAGTCATGAGTAAAGAGACGTTGGCCACAGTAAAGGTAATGGTTGGTATGAGCTATGGGGTAGCATTTAATTATTTTAACATACGATACTAGAACTTGGTGGGGTAGCACAACCGTAGAGGTTCCTTGTGTAGCGGCGACCCACCCTATGTTTTACAGTATAATACACAAGGAAGTTATCCAGCGTCGCAATCTACATCAAATCAACAAAGCAATTATAAACAAGACAACGTACAAAACTCACAAGGATTCAAATCACAGCAGCAACAACAACAACAACAACCAGCGCAAATGTCAGCAGCTGCTTCTCCACGGTCTTTGCCAACCATAGCACCTACGCAACAAATGAAACAACTTCAGAAACCCCAACAACAGCTACAGCAACAACAAGGACAGCAAAAGTTGCAGCAATTGCAACAGCAACAACTGCAGCAGCAGATATTACAGATGCAGCAGCAACAGCAGCAGCAGCAGCAACAACAACAACAACAACAACAACAACCATCATCATCACCGCAACAAATGATACAACAACAAGTACAACAGCAATCACAACAGCAGCAGGCACCATTGCCACAACGATTAAAGCCAATCTTAAAGCAGAGTACAACTGTTGCACAAACTGTTCCTGTAACCTCTCAGCCTTCCATGTCTCCTACAATACCTGCTCCAAGCTCTACTAATAATAATTCTGATGTTATGGATGACAGTGTAAAGCTCGAAAATACAGATGTTGAAATGCAGGATGCCCAACCGAGATGGCGAAGGAAGGTACCTGGATGTAAGTAGCTTAGAAATTAAACTTAGAAACTTAGACAATTTTAGAAACTTTTGTACAATTTTATAAAATTACAATTTGGATATGGAAGTGTATAACAAAAACATATAATTCTATTTTAATTAAAGTAATCAATAACTTTTAATTAGTCGATAATATTTTAAACATTATTGCATATAAATTTATTATAGAAATAATTAGAAATCTTATAAAGTATAGAAAAATAAATAATTAAAAATATTTATAAAAATAAAGTTTTTGTAATTAAAGAAATAATTGTAACAACATTATTGTGTTTATATTTAGGGTTCATATACAAGATTTAATTCTTTTCTTTTTTTTTCCTTTTTTATGATGACATTTCACTGCGCAAATTTGAAGATTCAGGAGTATTGAATGCTCTCGATACAATTATAGTATCAAGTCTAGACTCTCCTGTAATCAGTGTGAATTGTTTCACTGATATATAAAATAGATTCTAATTATTCATTGTATTATATTTATATACTATTAACATAATTATTTTTGTAGTTAAAGTAAATAAAAAATTAAAGCGTCTTCGTATGAATCAACGTCTAAGAAAAACTTTACAACCCAAAAATGCAATCATGGTATTAAACGAAATGAAAGCTGGAGTCCAATTCACGTTTCCTGAAACACAAGGACCTATGCCAAACTCACTTTATCTTGTTCATGCTGAGGTAATTATTTTGTTTTTTTAATTAAAATTTATAATTGTGTAAATATTGATTATAATATTTATGTTTCTTTAAGTATATATTATGTAATATTTAAGACTTTGCTCTCTCGCTTCTGACATAATTTTATGGCTGTGGCAAGAAAACCGAACCTTAATACAATCATTTTACATCAAATTTTTTTTTATAAAATGCTTAATACAATTTATAGCTTGATGGTAAAACTTATGTTGGACAAGGACTATCTAAACCACTTGCTCGTCAAAATGCAGCTGAAAATGCATTGAAAGCTTTATTACTTGAAAAAATGACAGCAGCATCAATGAAAGCGCGCATAGATGCTGAATCTGATGGACAAACTAATTCATCTTCGGATGGAATGAAGGAAGAAAATAATGACGATAACAATACTATGGACACGAGTACTGAAGACGAAATTCCATGGAGTTCACTGGCCAGTTTTGCACTTTATAAACTTTTCCTTGAATGGCACAATCAGGGAACATCAGTTCCAGTTCCACGACCTGGTTTACCAACTACTAAAGGAACCAAGAAAGATAGTCCTAATGCTATCAAAACTCCGACTCAAAAAGAACTTCCGCCTAATCCTACGACCATACATCCAGTTATGTTATTGAATCAAATGAGACCTGGACTAACATATGTTGAACTTAGCCGTGTCGGTAATCCACCAAATACAATGTTTACTCTGGCCGTTGAAATTGGCGGAGTTGAATATTCAGGAACAGGTACATATATATATATATATATCTTATGAATAATTATTATATTGAATAAGAATATTTTCAATGTTATTAATAACAAATTTTATCATCTAGCTAAAAACAAGAAAGATGCAAAGAAGGCGGCAGCTAAAGCAGCATTATTAGCATTATACAACTTAACTTATCCTGAAGATGTCAACAAACAGGATTTAATGGCAATTGGTTAAGATAAACAATATGTTCAATACAAATTTTTAAAAATATGACATTGTTTTTTTTTATTAATCTTTATCCACAAAGTATTAATAATTATTTTTTAATGATTGGTGATACTTGCTTATATAGGCATATTGATAATCTTGAATTTTTCACAAAATTCTTTTGCAATTTATCTTTATGCTCATGATATGCAATGAATATATACACATAACAAAAATTATGTATTTTTTTATTATATATTAAAATATAGATGCACTAATCAATTCACAAATCAAATAGAATGTATAACAGTTTAATATAACCTAATTTCTTGTAACATTATCTTTTCTGTATATTATATTGATTTTTATAAATAAAAATAATTTGTGCAAAATATACATATAGGATATTTTAAAAAACCATTCAATATTTATATGAATGATAGATAGTACACACCATATTGAATAAAAAAACTTAGTAAATATATAATATAGGTCAAAAGCTCAATCATTTTTGAGATATAAACATTTTTGTATGTAACATCATAATTGACTTCTATATGTCGTATGAGAGAAAGATAATCTGTCTAAATCTTCGTCTCGATATTTACAGAAGATTTTTTCGTTTCCATTCACGCTTGGCGGAGCCAAGCAATATTCTTGCAGTCATAAACTTTCTCGAAAAGTCTAGCTCTGTCGAACTGTTTAACAAGCATGTTGGATTCAGTTTCATAATTTTTTAAGTTATTGGCGAAAAATACACTACATTTAGATAAACATCGTGTACGTGACATAGAAATCAGTAAGTCAATCATGATGCTATATACAAAAATGTTTATACTTCAGAAATGGTTGAGCTTTCAACCTATACGAGCTAAGATTTTTTTACTCAGTATGGTATGTGCTATCTATTATATAAATATTGAATAATTTTTTTGAACATCCTATATAAAAAATTTATAATTGATATATAATTATATTAAAAATTGTATTTTTTATTTTATATACTTGATTTATATATAATTTATTTTTTTTTTATACAATACATTTTGTACATACATAGAAAAGATAATATTGTAAGAAGTTAAATATATTAAGACTGTACAATTTCTTTGCCACTTTTTTTAATATCAATCATGTGTATATACAAAATATAAATAATTGATAATTGATTGGTGAAAATGGCTAATAAAATATCTAAAATTGATTGTAACTTACCATGTTTAAAATATTCTTTAGTAATACTGTAATATAAAATAATTTCATATAAAATTTAAAAGAAAAATTTCTTATAAGCAATTTACATTATGATAGCAAATTGTATTTCACAATGTAATAAGTAAATAGCCATAAACAAGTTACAATTTTTGTTATTATCATGTGTTAATTAGTATAATGATAATAGTTATGTAATTCGTTATATTAGTGTTAAAATCACAGTAATGTAATAAATGTATTAGCGTATTCAATAAAATCATGACTTTACAAACGACATATGTTCATTTTTGTATACATATTTTATAAGACATTTTTTAATATTTATGTTCAAATGAATTCTTTATTAACAAGATATTAATATAAAATCGTGATATATGATATAGATTAAGGAACATCTTGTATGTTATCTTAATGAAGGTTACCAATTTTTAATTCTATTTTATGTTAAGAAAAACTGAAATCACACATTTTTACCGGGATAATGTGTGATGTAATGTTTTGGTGCGTGTGTATGTGTATGTGTATGTGTGTGGGTGTGGGTGTGGGTGTGGTGTGTGCGCGTGTACACTACATGTATGAAAATTCCTCTTTACTTGTTTGTGTGTATGTATGCGTGCGTGAAATCTTGAAATTTTTTTATATATATTCAATACATTTTATAATCGATATATTTAAAAATCGCAAATTATTTAAGTCTGTGATTTCCTAGTCATATTGTGTATGCAAACTGAGATAACGGTCGTTATAGCAACAATTACCAAACAATAATGCGTTCTATATTGTTGTGTATGCTCATCAGGTGCAATGGAATGTTGATATCTTTGACAACAATTATTATCAAATAATGCATACATTAAAATTGGTAATGATAGGACCGACTGAGGTAAAAATATCTATTGATTAAATGAATATTTAAAAGAAGATATTAAAATATTTTTAATCTGAAGTCAGATTATGCTAAAATAATGCATAAACTGAATGATTGTGTATATGTG